CTACAGACATACGTACAAAATGAATCTTAAGCAAGTCCATAATAGTACTTTCTTGGTATTTATCAAAAAATGTAGTAGGTGAATTGGAGGCAGAAAGATCATTATAAAAACAGACCTTATAGATGCCAAGTCATAATAATAGCCATTATTACCTAATGATCTAAACAAGGAAGAGTTGAGTTGTTACCAACAATTGAATTCTGGTAAATTGAGTAGAAAAATTCACCAATGTTTTCAGACTATTGGAAAGAAATGTGAACTAGGAAAAAAAATCACCTCTTTTCCTTGAAAAATTCTAAGCCAGGCAGTGGTGATGAATGCCTTTAATCCCAGTACTTGGGAGGCAGAGACAGGCGGATTTCTGAGTTCTAGGCCAGCCTGGTCTACAGAGTGAGTTCCAGGACATCCAGGGCTATACAGAGAAACCCTGTCTCAAAAAATATATATATAAATTATCTGCTTAACTACTTACACTATTCTATGTCTACATCCAATTGCATTCCAGAGCTTCTTCTTGATTACATTACATTGGGGCTTGTAGGACTTCTTTTCCTGCCAAACTACTTTTCTTACACCTGCCCCTCACCCACAGCGTTGCTTGCTTAATTGAAATTCTAACTGCTCCATCACTTCCAGCTACATATATGGCTAGTCGGCTTGAAACAGTAACCTAAGCCCACAGTTAATGGATTGTGGGTAAAAATGGCAACATATCAGAAGCCAAGACACATAATCTTAATTGGTGGTAGCTAGGCAGCAATTTCGTTCCCAAAGCACTATCTTGATAGACTGCAGAGTAACCTGACTCTACTTCTTGCAAATGCTCTGGCCTTAAATAAATGACCCAAAGGAAGCCACAGTCATTTTACTTCAGCTGATACTTTTTTCCATTCTTTTAAAAACTTGAATGGATTAAATTTACGTTGTTCTGATTACTCACAAATGTAGCCTGATCTTGGTACCAACACACTGAATCCAGTCAGAAACCACCCATCAGAAATACAGTCTCAGAGAACACAAATTGTGGTATCAAGGAATTCAGAAGTGAAGATCTTTCGGATTCAAACGGGGTTCTTAATCCTCCTTGGATATTCTCCAAATACTGTTTGTCATTTAAAATTAACATTTCTTAAGAAATTGAAACTCTAAAGCAAAGAAATTAGGCCTCCTTTGAAGTTCTAGGTATTTTGTGTTTAAAATGAACAGAAAGTTTGTGTTTATTTCTAAAAACCATTCAAGACAGAAAAACATGAAAACTAGAAAAATGGTACTGTCAGTATAGAAAATTATGGCAATTAATTAACTTCATCTAACAGTATTGTTAGACTTAAGAAGTTTGGTCACCCTTATTAGTATATTCAATACCAAGAACAAGCTTCTACAGTCTTTGTACCTTGCAGAATAAACCTAACACCGAGCACCTTGTGTTTCTTTTTTTTTGTTGTTGTTCAAATTGTTTTTTTTTTAATTTTTTTATTGGATGTTTTATTTACATTTCATATGTTGTCCCCTTACACCATCCCCCACCCACCCAGGAACCCCCAATCCCCTCACACCTCCTCCTTCTTCTTTGTGGATGTAACCTCTATCTACCCCCCCACACCCACCTCCCCACCCTCAAGACTCCCACCCCCTGGGGCGTCCAGCCTTCATGAGGTCAAGGATCTCATCTTCCACCTGTGCCCAGCAGGGCCCTCCACTCTTATATATTCAGCTAAGGCCCTGGATCCCTCCATAAGTGCTCCCAGGCTGGTGGTTTAGATGTTTCTTATGCCTTTCTGTCTACAAAGTTAGATTTATCTAAGACCATGCCACTGTAAATCCAGAACTAAAAAAAAAAAATTAGCTATGTAAAATTAGATGTTTTATCTACTTTACCTCTCTGCTAGTATTACAATGAGTTTTTCTTCTATGTTGATTTAAAAAGTAACACCATCATGACTTCTAAACACAATATGTAAGAGGTTGTGTATTATCTTGGAACAGCTTTCTTATGTAGAATGCTGAGAATTATTGGACAGAACAGTGGGTAAGGATAGAAGTGAAGAGAGTTTATGCAGTTATCTGCTTTCTAAAACCAGAACGCTATTGGCAAGCATCTCAGCTTTGGGATAGTGGCTTTGTTTTACATCAGTTTGAGAAGACATGAAGTGTGTAAGGCTGAGTATGGAAAGGTAAAAAACTTTGCCCCATTGTCAAATCATGTTCTGTAATTATATTGATAGGTGATTTTAAAAAAAAGGCTATCAAGGGCAATTAATAGTGGACACCCCTGGTTTAAGACAGATATTCAAGCCTCTGTTTGCACATATGTAAAACTGTTAAATAAATCAGCCTTGCAATTGCTGAGTCCCACCGAAGGTTGTAGAAAAGTGTAGAAAAGGCTTAGCAAACTATAAAGCCTTGTGCCTTGTCTGCATGTTTAACATTATTTTTGTTCTGATAAAATTCTTCCCTGGGAAACCAGAAATGAGCTTCTATAGTGAATCCAGTATGAATGCAGGGCAGACTTGGGTAAGATTTTATAAACTGGCATGAAATGTCACAGGCTGATTTGCATTTTTGGTGATTTTATACATTAATCACTGAATAACTTTCAGTTTTCCAAATAAAGAAGGAAGAAAGCAAGGGTGACATTTGTGATCATCTACAAAAAAGGACTTATTTAAACTCTTCACAGATGGAGAGATAGCAAGCATAAATTGTTTTACCAAGATTTCTAATTTTAAGCAGCTTTGAGGGTGTTTGTGGGTAGAAGAGAGCAAACACTGTTTTGCATATGGAATTAACATAAACTTTGCATACCATAGTCCCAGCTTCTCTAGATGATTCTGAAGGGCTTTTTGGAGACTGCCCTAAGGATTGAAAAGCTCATAAAGGGACATAAATTCTTTGCTGCTTGTGATATACAAATGGAGGGAACATAAACAAGCCTCCTACGTGACCTTTCCAAGAGAATAGTGGGATTTCACACATCTCAGACGGCTTAGTGCTTGTACAGGGAAACCAATTCTAGTCCAAATCAGCCCATTATTTTTAAGTAAGCCATATAATCTATTGCTTGAACAGATGATGTAATTTGTTTCAATATTTTTCTATAAGTTAACTGTGACAGTAGATATAGACCAGTGACTGAGATTTTTATAACTGTTGAAAAATGAACAAATGGTTGTCTAATGTTTACAAAATTAGTTAGAAGTGTCACAAGTTCATTGGGATGCACACAGAAAAATCTATTACAAAATTATCTTTGGATGTTGAGAAGTTTATTGTATGAAACTACTTGCTGACTTAGTAACTGACATAAAACCCCAGTGGTTACAATGTCACAGTACATTTTGGCTGCCAAATTTATAGGTTCTTCCCCAATTTACAACTTGGTGTGTGTTTCTTAATATAAACTTTAAAATATTAATCTTTATTAGTTACCTGTCACCTACGATAAAGTGCCCTACTAAAAATAAATTTAAAGGAGAGGAGTCGGTTTGTTTTAGCTCACAGTTTAAAGATGCAGCCCACTGTGCAACAAATGGTGGTGGCAGAGGCTCCAGACAACTGGCCATATTACATCAGCAGCCAGGAAGCAGGCGGAGGCTACTGCTGGGGCTCAGCTGGCATTTCCCTTTATATGTAATCCACAGCCCTGCTCACTCACCTTCAGATTGTGTCTTCACACTTCAGTTAACCTAGTCTAGATTTTCTCTTACAGGCATGCTAGTAGGTGGTGCTCACGGGTAATTAGAAATCCTATCACGTTGATAAACAGAACCAACTGTCTCAGAATATTTTCTTTGTTTTCTCCACGTTGGTTTTGTAAGTAGCTTCAATTAATGTACTCGTGGTAACTCAGGATTCATACGGATAATAGTAAAAATAGGAAGTAAATAGTAAAAGCATAATAAAGCATATACCAGATATAATTGATCACATCATTTGCCAAGGGAAGATGCCATTATCTTGAGGTAGCTTTTTATACTTTCTTTCTGGATTTTAATTTCTAAAGAGATATGAGACCTATTTGTGCCAATATCAAATACCACCAGGTAAATATTGAAGGAAAGAATGTTTACTCTTAAAAGACTCCAGAGATAATTTCTGTCAGAGTGTTTATAGCAACATAATAATGAAACACATAAATACTTTGAGTCATTCAGCTAGATCATTTCTAGAAACATCTCATTTGAAATACGCAAAAAAATAAATAGTTGAAAATTAGTGAACCTATTACCACATTGGAAAAGTCACATTTGACTGTATATGATAGATCACAATAGTCAAGACACAGACAGTCTAAAAACACCTGTCTAAAGTTATCTGTAGCTCTTGCATATAAGCTGTATAATAAACAAAAACAAATTTTATGTTTAAAATTGAACACCAGATACAGGATATCTCAATTATATATGTGTGGAATTTTCAAACCCCAAAATTTTGAAATGTTAAGTATTACTGTCATTTCATTGAAATATTGTTTCACCTATATAGCTTCCCGCCACAAAACCACACTTATTTCTGTGGATTGGGAACACAATTGTACCTTCGGGCTTCTTCATTACAAACTTTATGGTAAAGTACCCCTGAAAAGGCTGATACCACTGATGAGAATATTTTGATAGCCAGAGCCAGGGGACAAAGTTTCTATCTCATGCCTGTCTAAGCCGAATGGAAAGCCCATTCTGCTGCTACAGAAGGGGAAATGTTACTTGTTAACATGCAACAAAGTTCTTTAGCCAGTACACCCACTGTTATGCATTAGGAACAGAAGATACTGACTATCTCTCAATAACATATTTTGTTATTCATTCCCATTGCTAGCATCCTTAATGTGGGGACAAAGACACCTTCTGAGGCTTTGAAAGTCATGTCTCTTCATAACCAAATACTCTCCAGTGTGAGAAGGTTTTCTCACCATGCCTGTCTTCTGTGGTCTCAGAAGTGTACTAGACTAGGCAATGCATAATACAGTGGCCCTCATGTCTCTTTTCTATTTGCCTTCACAGCTGGTGCCACGTATATCTTTGGGAAAAGTGGTGGTCTCATCCTGTACACCTGGCCAGCAAATGACAGACCAAGCACACGCTCTGACCGCCTGGCCGTGGGATTCAGCACCACTGTGAAGGATGGTATCTTAGTCCGCATTGACAGTGCTCCTGGACTTGGCGACTTCCTCCAGCTTCACATAGTGAGTACCTGCTCAGCCTTGGCCTGGATTCTCTTATCTTCCTGGTGATCTGAAGTGTGCATTAGATAAACACAGGAGAATGTTCTACATAAACTCAACATAGGTGCATATGCTTTCAAAGACTCCCTTCAATCTTACAAACTGTCACACTTGGGCTTAGATGGACAGACAGCAGTGGGTTGGCAAACTTTTTCTAAAGGGGCAGCATGTCAGCATTATGGAATTTGTAGCTCATACAATCTGTTGGTTTTATTACACACAGACAGTAGGCTTTTAAGATATGATTCTGTTCCAATAAGAACTCATTCATAAAACTTGGTGGCCAATGTGACCACAGGTATGAAAAAGATCTGTGGTGAAAGCTGAAGCTCTCGTAGCAGAGGAGTATGACACAGATGAAACCGCCCAGTGATCAAGTTGAGTTATGCATGCATATTGCATATTTAACATTTTCTTGTAGATCCTGTGTCTATGTTGGTAGAGAGTTTTACTCCCCGTCCCTGCAGATCGTAAGAGTATTGTGCAAAACAAAGAAATTAAAATGATTTGGAGGGGAAAAATTACTTTCTTACGAGGATAGAAAACATTTTTATAGCGACAATTAACCCATTTTATCACCTGTACACAGTTAAGAAAGTAGGCTAAAGAAAGATATGATTCTCATCCGTAAATACCCCACGTGTAACCACCAAGAGCAGAGAGAGGAATTGTTCTCATTAGTTAGCAGTGACAGGGCTAGAAAGAATGGATTTAATTTGGAGCAGTAAGGATTCAGTTTAAATACCAGAGGGGAGAAAAAACGATCATCTGGGATTAGTACCAATCTCCACAATGGGGGAAAAGGAGCATTTGCAGGGAATCTTCGAATCTAAGTTTTGCTAATCCTTAGATCCAGGGAAAAAAGCAGAGTGTGGATTTTCTATGCTGATCTCCAGAGTTGGAGCTGGCAGGTTGGATCCACAGCAACAGGCTCAGCCACAGCTGTGTTCTGTTGGTAGTGTCCTGAAGTAGAACCAGCTAGAAGTTCAAGATTTAAGCTGGATTTGCCTTCTAGCCCCAAGATGATCCAGAGCACAGCAAGACACTCTCTCCTCATGCTCCGCAAAGCACTAGTCACAAGTAAATATGGATTGGGTTGCAGATTTTTAATTCTCTCTCAGATGCGTCAGGAACCATATGGTGCTAGAAGCTTGAGTTTAAACAGTATGAAAGCCCATGCCAAGGAGCAAAGAGAGAGGAAGCCATACTCACGACAGTTTATCTTTATTTAGCCTGCAAGAGCCACGGTCATTTACAAAACTCCAAGAGATTCGTGCTGCACATAACTTAATGACTATTTCATGGCAGCTCTAACGAGGCTATTATTACCACCACAGTTGCCTTTTCATGATGATTTATTTTCTCTTTTTATGTTCAGTGTGACTTTCTAAGAAAAATATGATGTGGCTTAGTCATAAACATGTTTTGCCATGAGATAATATGCTGCTAGTGTACCCATTTCTAGGCCCTCATGTTTGGTATCACATGTCACTCTGAAGAAAGAGGTTTTGTCTTATTCTTTGGTAGTTTGCTTGGGATGTGTCAGGGTTTTGTTACAAATCATTTGTAGATACTGAGAACTTTTCAGAGAAACTAGAATACTATGCCATTGTGAAATTCTGTAATTCATTGGTGAGTTTGAAAAGTGAATGCCTCTAACCGTGTTCTGATGTTCAAGCAATACACATTTGTGTGCCTTGTATTTGTTAGCAGATGTTCTCTGTATAGCCATTTTCTTTAGTTTGGCACTATATATTATCTTCTTTACATACTCAGTGATTCTGCTATTAATAAAACACTCTAAAATTCCCCAAAGATTTTTCCTAACAAGCTTAGGGTAGGAAACCACCTTTTTTTCCTATTGCAATGTGAAAAACCCACACAGTTCCGAAGTAAACCTGCCCTGCCCATGACCTTTTAATAAGCATGGCCCCCTTCAGCGCTCAAGTCATTTGAAACCATTTTTAATTTGCTAATGAGTCTATTTTTTTCTGTATTCCTTAACACAATAAGAATAAAAGAATTGGAATAGAAAATCAAAAGATTTTTTATAAGACCCAGCCTCTTACTTTGAACAGTTAAGCAAAGGCATCAAGAAAGTAAAACAATAAAAACTGGGTAGGATGGTTCATGAGACATCTGTGGGATTATAAAGGACAGTTTCATCTGTTGAATGGTTTGTTTCTCAGTTCTAAGAAAATTATTCCAAAAGAAAAGCAGTTAGGAGTCATTGTAGAAGCCCAAAGGAATTGAACAGGAGGAAAAGACTTCATTCTACACAGGTTTCTTTTGAAAAAAAAAAAGTTAATTTTTTTTGTATTTTAAGTTGACATATAAATTAGAAAGTTTCATCTTTGTATTTTCCTACATGTATGACATCATATTGTGTTCTTCTTCAAGTCTTTTTTCCATAGCCCTCTCCAATTCCTTAAGATCTTATCCTCAGGGGCACAGGAAACATGGCTCAGCAGAAAGAATTCATATTACCTTTCAGGATGACTCAAGTTCAATCCGCAGTATCCATGTTGTGTGGCTTCCAGTCACCTTTATCTCCTGCTCCAGAGGACTGAACTACCTTTCCCCCTTAGCAAGCAACCACAAAAACATGTGTAGATAGACATCACAGACAGACATAGAAATACATTTTTGTAAAAATGAGGAATTCGTTTTTCCAGTTCTTTCACATTGTAATTGTCCTTATACTTAAAAAATCTGCACACACACACACGCACTCATACACACACAAAACACATACACATGTACACACATATACAAACACATCTATACATGCCCACATACACAAGCACTTACACACATGCACACATACACAAACACATACACACATGCACACACACACACACACACACACACACACATACACACATGCACACCTATACAAACACATACACTTTAAATCTAGAATCTGCATATGAAAGAAAACATGCTTTCTTTCTGAGTCCAGTAAATTTTCTAGCATAATTTTCTCCAGTTTAAAAAAAAAATGTTCTGGCAAATGTCATGATTTCAGTTTCTTAACAGCTGAATGTAATCCCAATGTATACAAGAACCACATGTTGTTTACCCATCTCTCTGCCTACATACACACAAGCTTTCTATTCCTTAGCTATTCTGAATAGGACAGAAATAAACCTGGATATATAAGTCTTGTTCTGGCATATTGATATAGTCTTTCAGGTATCTACCCAGGAATGATTAATGTAGCTGATGGGATAATTATATTTCCTTTTATTTATCAGCAATTCGGAGGACCTCACACATGCTAGCCAAGTGCTCCTACACTGAGCTACTTCCAGTACTATTTTAAACGCTTTAAGGCAACAATACACTGACTTCCTTAATGCCTATACCAGTTGACATTGTCACCAGCAGTCTGATACAGAACCTCCTTCTCACAACCACTCCATTGTTTGTTTTTATTTTACTTGATTCTGGTCACTGACCTAGGGGGTAATAGAATCTCAAAGCAGTTGTAGTTCGCACTTCCCTGATGGCTGAGACTGTTGGACATTTTAAAAAGAAAAAAAAGAAAAAAAGTTGCCATTTGTATGTTGTCTTTAGAGATTCATATGGTCAGTATATCAGCCCACTTGTTGATCAGTTAATTCACCATTGAAACAAAGAAAGTAATGGAAGACACTCAGAAAGACACAGACACCTGTATTGGGTTATTTTACGTTATAGTAGTAAAATACCTTTCATTGACCCATCTATAAATCACAGGATTTTACATCTCAGGATCTGTCATGTGGAACTGAGAATTCCAAGACAGAGATGCAAATTGATCAGGGCTACATAGCTGAGCTCCCATGATACTACCTTGTATGCCCTGCCATATAGTTGGAAAAGCTGTGTCCTGCCATGGAAGGAGAGAGGGGACCCACTCTTTAAGGTTCCCCAGAAAGTACTATCAATGCACCTCTAAAAAGTCTCTTCTTACCCACACTGCTTTATTGGATATGTACCTTCAAATACACGAAATCTGGGGGACATTGTTGTGCCAGATCAGTGGGATAAACCATAGTGACATGAAACAAGGGCCAAGCATCTGCTGCAGCTGTCCTCCCCTGGGGTTGCATGGTAGTCAAGCAGCATTATTTTACTCTGAATGTTAAATGGAGAAGAAATTTTTTCTTCAGTGCACTTAATAGTGGTAGTTAGGCTAGTTAAATTAAATGCAAAGCAAAGCATAGATTGATATCATCCAGTAAATGCAGTATATGTATGTTGTCTGTGTAAGTAAAAGAAAGAACACAGCACTGATAGAATATGGACAGAAGCAGAAAAGAATGTATCTTGTAAATTGGTACTGCAAATAGTTCTTATGAATTTCTTACAAACTATGAAATAGTTCTTATGAATTCATGATTATTTTATGGTATTAACACTATCATTGCAATCATTTGTTTTTACCTCCAGTTTAGCTTCTCTGAAGGAATTATGTTCTTCCAAGAATACCAGTTAGTCTAACTCAGAGGTGAACACTCACTCTAGGAGAGTCCATACAGCAAGATTGGCAAATAAAGCTCACCTTACACGACAGCTCTCTGTGCCTTAGAGTCTCTCACTACGAGCTTTACATAGGAAATATTTTTGAGAGCAATGGATGAATGCTGCATGAATGAACTCTGGCTTCAACTAGTCATGTCAGCCCCAAGTGTAGACATCTAGTTTGTATGTAGATGTATAGTGCACATCTTTCAGCTAGGTACTAAGACCTAAGCTCACATGAGTTTTCCCCTTTCCCGTGTTTCCCCAAAATCTTTACTCATTAAAATATCTTCAAGAAAATAGTTTCCTTCTTAAAATTCTACTCGGATGGACTCTTGATTCATTTACTAATTCATTTAAAGTACTTCTGTTTCAGTGTGTGTGTGTGTGCGTGTGTGCATGTGTGTGTGTGTACATGTATGTATGTGTGTGTGTGTGTGTTCATTCACATG